ATCTATCTATCTATCTATCTATCTATCTTATCCAGCCATCCATTTTCTGATCTGCTTATCATCACAAGGGCATGCTGGAGCCTATCCCCAGCTGTCTTTGGGTAGGAGAGGGGGGATACCCCGAACCGGTTGCCAGCCAATCGCAGGGCACACAGCGAAAAACAATCATCCACACCCACACCTAGGGACAATTTAGAGTGTTACATTAACATGCCATGCATGTTTTTGGAACATGAGAGGAAACCGGAGTACCCGGAGAAAACCCACGCAGGCACGGGGACAACATGCATACTCCACACAGTAACGCCGGAGCCGTAATCGAACCTTGCACCTCTTCACTTTGAGGCCAATGCGCTAACCAGTCAAACACTGGGCCGCTCACACACACACACACACACACACACACACACACACACACACACACATCCTCAGCAAATTTTAATGGGTTCTTGTTTGGTGATTGGACACACCCCTCTGCATAGTTTCAAGGAATTTGGTTATGTAGTTTTGGTGTAGTCCTACTACACTCTCCATCACGGTTGGTGGAGGTAGCAATAGTTCCTGAGCATGGTGATGGAGTTTTGGTACAGTGCTCAATATACAGTACTGGACTGATATACAGTAGCAATGCTAAATTCGGGGTAACAAAGGCAAAGTCGGCAGACACCTGTGCATCCAAGTTGAAATCTTGTCCGTGTATGCTTTTTTGTTCTCAACTTTTCTTATTTGCTCCTTTCTTCCAGCCTGGTGTTGCGCTGGCAGCAGGCGAGACAGCTTGTTCAAGTTGAACGCTATTAGTTCTGGTTCAGTACGTGGCTCTCTCTCCACCTCAACAACACCTTTCCACCAAGCGCGGATTCCAACCACCATTAATCAGAGTGCTGACAGCCCGTGGATGTCAGTAAGTATGTGTTTCTTTCGCTACCGCATTCTTTCCTCTGTTTTTGTTCTCATTGAATTGCTCTCATGATTGCACACCCTGTGAGTGCTCCTCATCACAATTCAATGCTGATTTCTTGCTCGGATCTGTATTATCGCAAGTCAGTTAGGATAGGCTCCAGCTCATCTGCAACCCTAATGAGGACAAGGGCGATAGAAAAGAGACTGATGGTTTGGGTACTTGTAATGTGATCTCACTACTGTATATGCAATTGTTCATCCATCTACCCATCTTCAACACTGCTTATTATGAACAGAGTTGCGGGATTGGGGGCGGGTGGGTTGCTGGAGCCTACCCCAACTCACTACGGGTGAAAGGTGGACTACACCCTGAACTGGTCACCACTAAGTCGCAGGGCACAGACAGAGGCAAAAAAACATTCACACCCATATCACATAGTTGGAAGTCAGGCAAGTGTACCACTACACCATCAGCGACTACATACAATGAGAACAGCATTATAATAATAATACATGTAATAATAATAATAATAATAATTATTATTATTATTATTATTATTATTATTATTACAGTCAATCAGAAAAACTACAAATAAAGATTGTAAATATGTGAACTGTAGAGGAAGAGCAGTTGGCTCTGATGCTCACAACATTAAGATTCAGGTTTGACTCACAGAAAACCCTCATCCTTGATAAAACAACAAAATACGTGCACCCAACATTTTTCTATGCCTCGTATCGTGTTCAGACTTTTGGGGAACTGGAGCGTATCCCAGTGACTTGAATAAAAGTAATCCGAGACCCTGTTCTGGTAACCAGTCAATCACTGGACACATGTTGCCGTTGGCCTGTGAAAATCACGTATACCCATTTTTGTCATTTTTTAAAAACATTTTTACGCACCTTATAAAGTGTTCATATTAAATTTCAAACGACAATCAGTTGATGCTGGAGAAGTAAGCATAGAACAAAAAAGAGCGAGATGAGAAAGAGATAATCTAGTCCCCTCCTGCCATTATCAGTGACCTTCACGTTGACAGTGTGCTGATATCGTTTATCTTTGTGCCCACTTTATTTCTATTGATTCAACAGACTGCTGGAAACATGCGATGCACATGTAATCACTTCATCACAATCAGTTGTAATCACATGGGTGCGCGCACACACACATAGGGCACTAACATCGGCCCGTGGTCACTCCTCAATGCTGCAGTGATAAATGATGGCGAAGAGCGCTTTGTTTCGGTCCATATTCATTTAGTGCGAGCGATGAAACGTTTGCCCTTTCTGGCCATTTCAATTATAGAACGCGGAATATCTTTAATATGTGTGACTGTCACTGAATTTCACCCCAAAAAATCGAACTGCATGCTGTTGTGACAAGTTGTTGCATGTCCAAATGGAGACGTAGGGAAATGTGTGATCAATCTTGCTCGTTTTGTAACTGCAATGAAAAATAAATGAATGGAATATTTGTGGAAAAAAATGTGGAAAAAACGTTTACCACATTGCTGATTCCTTAATTATTTGGGGGTGCATGTTTGGCACACTCTTCTCACGTATTTCCCATCATCAAACAAATTCAAATATTAGTTAAAGAAAACACAAGTAAAGACAAAATGCAGTTTAAATATTTGAGAGAAAGAGAGAGAGAGAGAGAGAGAGAGAGAGAGAGAGAGAGAGAGAGAGAGGGAGCGAGAGAGAGAGAGAGTGAGAGAGAGAGATGGGTATTAAAACGAGGGGGAGGGATAGAGAGAGAGAGAGAGAGAGAGGGAATTTTAGAAGGTGGCAAATTCTTTTTCATTGTACTGTATATCTGTATATTCTGGATGAATGCGGTAGGAGTACTCCAGGAAGATTTATTTTTACAGCCAGCAGAGGTCAGTGTAGCATTTATATTTTGATTTCTTTTTTTTTCTGGCCAGAACCCGAGCTGCAGCTATTTGATTTTCTTTTGACTAAGAAAGCATTAACTCACTGCATATTTAATTAATTTCTCTCTGCAAAGACAAAATCACATTATTTATGCACTGTAATTAAAACGAAGTGTAGCCATGCTTGTTAAAATATCACTTATATATCGTGAAGTTAAACAGAGTTCACCTTTGGAGCTGTGCAAGCTTTTTTTTCTGTTCTCTCAAGCAGCCCAACTATTTGCGCCCACACTGAAGTGGTTTGGAAGGGGGTGCAGCCGCTCTTACCCTGGGGGCATCAGAACAAAGTCTGCATTCATATTCTAACCCCTGCGGTGCGTCTGTGACAGGAAGAATGGATATGCTTTTTCATTAGTCTGCAACACAGCAGCAAGTAAAGAAAGAAGAGTGTCTGCATGCTCTGGGCCTGTAATTATTGTTTCTATTTGCTGCCAAACTAGCCTCTGGGGCCAAGGAAATCTCAGGACTGCACATTCAAGCAGACGGATCACGAAAACCTGAAAGGTCTCCAGACAAAGAGCATATAATTCCTACTATTGAGCTTCAATATAAACTGTAAGGTTTTTTTTTTCTTTTAATTGTAACTTGACTGTCTACTTTGTGCATGCGGACTCAGTTTTATAATGTGAGTGACTCCAACCTTAATGAGATAAAATAAGAAAGGGTATGCTTATTGCGTTCATAGTGTGTAGCGTCTTCCATGACCAGCATAACACAGCATACCTCACAGGCTCACACAAGCTCATTATCTCCGTAACAGGGGTGTCAAACTCATTTTTGTCGCGGGCCACATTTTAATTTCCATTTCCCACAGTGGGTCGTAATGACTGAAAACATATCAAGAAGTCAATAATCCCGGTTTATTCAACTATTGTTTAAGTTACTATAATGAGGGATTTGGTAACAAGACAATGTTTACAATAGGTAGCTCTTATTTATTACATATGGGAATTTAAAATTTTGGTAGAGATTTTAGCAAGCATCATGGAAGCTGACATGTTTGATTTATATTTCGCAGGTCACATAAAATGATGTGGTGGGCCAAACCTGGCCCCCAGGCCTTGAGTTTGACACCCGTGCCATCATCTGTAGTCTCCTCTCCCAAAGCAGATGTTATTTGCAGTACAAAGACTGACCTGTGAGGGGCAACATGGTGTCACAGGCCACAAAAACAGAGGGAAAATACAATGAACAAGCAAGTGTTTTATTTGAAGATACCAAGTTCTTATTTTGAAGTTATTACTAACTCTTCTTGTCATTCTTATTGAGATTAATGACTTGGGAAACACATTTTATTTCATTATAAAGCCAGCAAGGCCTTTCCTGCTGGCTGAAACACTATCAGCTGATTACGCGGGTGAACAAATTTGTACACATTTTTTGAGATGTAATTAAACTTTTAAACAATTTTTTTTGGTGCTGATTCCAAAGCTGTGTTTTTTTTCCCTAACACATCAGGTTTTCATCATGATATAATATTTAATATTATTATATAACATACTTTATGAGTTATATTTGTGAGGTTCAGCATCAGGTGGATTTTTTTCCCCCACTGGAAACATCACAGCTATAAATTAAAAACACATGCTAAAATCAGAATTATGCAAGCTTTTCTTGGTCCAAATTAAAATAAATAAAGAAAGAAGGAAAATAAATCTCAAAAACCTGCTGAGCGAGAAAAAAAAAAAAAGTAAAAACATTTTGGGAAATTCACGTCAGAAGTACATTTTGGGACACATCAATCCATTTCCAATTAAAATTTGCTGTTGACAAGTGTTTGGTTGTGAAATGCTCAAGAGGATGTTTGTGGGACAGATGCGTGCTGTTATAATGTGTTTTGCATTGCATATAGTTGTGACATGACACAAGAAGAAGCGGTTGTACAAGGTTGATTAAGTCGGGTAACCAACCATCCAGGTACCAAATACACCACAAGGACACTGACGTAAATATTCAACAGTTTTAAAATGACAATTGTGTGCACTCAAAAATTTTACAGGATGATCAATCTGGATATACTTTTTGAAACAGGACTTTGATCTAAAGGAGAGTAGTCTTTCAAATTAGGTCCGGTTGATACAGGTATGTGTGTATTCTGCGCATGGTTATACAAGACTCATGTCGTATTTTAGATCAGTGGACATGTCAAGAATCACAAATGAAACGTACAAGGCAACACATCATTTTATAGACAGGAGAAACGAAAAAAACATAAGTGTATACCAGACATCCAAAACGATGCAAAATCATAACTAATAGAGACGAACTAATAAAGTGAGCAATTTGAAAAAGCACAGACACAGTTATTAAAGAGTGTAGAAGAATACTTCTCAGACGACGGGCCTGATAAGAGCCCTTTAAGGACTTGCAATGAGGCGCTCAGAAACACCACAAAAAGGAGTCATGGTCTCAGACTGGTAGATGCTACTTTTCTGAAACAAATTGAACATTTGAAGGGTTTGTCAGTCGTCACTCATTTGTTAGTGTCACCACACTTGCTTTACATCCCAACAATGTTAAATATTAGCACCACTGGGCAGGCATTAAGGTCAAAGCCGGATTTAGGGAAAGAACTACAATGTAAGAAGATTCTGTATCTTGTCCATGTTCGGGTAGTGGAGTCTTTAGTTTAGAAATAAACGTGCCCCCTGCCAGGCCCAAAGCTAAGACTGAATACTCTTTCATCCCTCTTTGATCACCTTTTGACAAAAATCATCAACATTATAAAGGTAAATGGTCAAAAACAATAATATGAACGAGATAGTAAAAATAAAGATTGAGCGGAGCTATTATTATTTACATGCCTCCATCTAAACTTTTCCCTTTATCAAAAGCTGCATGGAGAAAAAGTTTCAGAACTAGAAAAATAGAAGTTATTATGTGTCACATTGGTCTTTCCTCCTCTTTTCTGTATGCAATTAGGCTGTTGTTGTTGTTGTTGACTTTTTTTATTTTTTATTTTTTTACAGTCCTGAGAGTTTAAATGTGAATATCAAGTAGGTAAACAACCACACTGTCTCCTCAGATTGATTTCCAAACAAATGCAAATGTTGAGCATGTGAGATGTCTTCGGTCTCCTTATTGAGGGTGCTTGTTACACGTCAGCTACGCGACAATACATGCGCGAACAATAAGAAAAAAAATTAGATTTCGTGACGTAAGCTAGGAGTGTCAGTAGCAAAGGCTGAATGAACAGCAGGGGCGGAGCTATGTGTCGGCCGCGGCCACTCTCTGGCCAGCCGCATATCTCAGGGAAGAGTTTGATAAATGTCAATGTGTGGTGCAGATTATCAGTTCCAAATTTCCTTTGGGTATTTGGATGAAAGCATGCCAGCCATGCTTTTAAGACACCAGGGAACTGTTTGATTAAAAAAAAATAAAAATAAAAAAAAAAGTCGGTTCATCAAATGATCGGAGGTTAAACAAGATCCAACAACACAATGTGACACTGTATGTACAACATAAAAACAATTTCAAGAGCAATACATGAATCTCTTAATTGAATAAGAAAAACACCCCCTCATTGAGATGTGACAAGAACAATCGACAAGCAGAGTTCATACGAACATGGTCTCGTTTTAATGCACTTGTCCCCTTTTTTGCCACACAAAAATCAAACATGTCCTGTCTTTAAAAAGTGCTATTGATAGCTGGCGGGGAAGAAGAACGGGCTTGCGGGTCACTGAAGGATCATCTTGTCGTTTTCAGTCACTCGCATAGATGCCGGAGAGGTTACCTAGGAGACGCTGGAGCAGCGGATGCTGGGTGAGCCCATCTGCGTGAGCACCTTGTCCAGCCACTGCAACGGGCCGTTCAGGTGCAGTTCGATCCAGCAGGGGGTGCTGGTCACCGTCTGTCGCCTGCAAACACATCCGGCAACATTTGGATGAATGAAGAACGTCAGAAGATGTTTATGACTCTGGCAGAGGAGATGACACCAGAATAACAAAACAATACATTAACTACTCGTAAATGTGCTCATCGCGATTCTGTATTCTCAATAAATTTCGAGAGTCGACCCGGGGGCCAGAAGATTTCAATCATTCTGCTGGAGAAAGCAATAGCGAGGTGTGGGTTGGGGTGGAGAAGTGGGAGGTATTGGCTGGCTTAGTATCCTGTTTTAAGTGTCTCCACATGACAGAGCTGGAACGCCGCCACTCCCGGCGCAATGGCTTCTCCCCCGTGGACGCTAATCATTCTTACTATCAGTGAGTCAGACTGTGCGGAAAACTGGGAGGGGGCAGAAGAGGGAAAGTCTGACATCTCTGTTTGACACAGTCCATGTGTGTTTGTAAATAGCCTGGCGTGCCAGCTGAGGTCGGCCTCGGTTGAGGGAAGCCAGAGGACGTCTTGAGAGCGGGGGGGAAGATGGCCTCTGGGCCAGGGCTCACTCTGATTCGTTGTCGCTCAAGTCAAGTAAGAGATCCATGGAGCCACCGACTTGACAGAGACTTTATTTGTGAACCATAATAGTCCACTTCATAAAAAATCTACTTTATAAAAATCCACATAAAATGATCAAGGAGTAGGGAATCAGTGAAAGATTCTGAACGCAGCTGATCTCTGGGTTTTGAGCAGACTGGATTGTCCACTTGATCCAAATCCATATTCAAATCTCATACAAAACGAATAAAAGAACCCCGTAAACCACATACAGTGATACCTCAGTTCACGAACATAATTGGTTCCCAGAAGGTGTGTGTGAGGCGAAAAGTTCGTCTTCCGAACATTTATTTCCCATAAGAAACCATTAAAATGAGAATAATCCGTTCCCGTTCCCCATAAAGCATAATTTTCGACGAAATAAGCCTTAAAACTACACAAAAATATACCTTATTTTATGTATAATAAATGTGCTGTTGTATTGCAATTAAAGAAATAAACTGTACTGTATAATAAAGTCGTTTTATTTACCTTTGTGATGGTAGTTGATGGCTTGATGGAATGGAGTGGGAGGAGGAGGGAGGGAGGGAGTTACTGTTTGGAAGGAGAGTCACCTTCCATAAGGACTGTAGGTAACTCCGTCACTAGGTTTGAAGAACAAGGGGGGCTTAGCCCCAAGGGGAACACAGCCCCTTTAGGGGGGTCCGGGGGCAAACACTAGCCTGTGGTGGGGTCTTTTTCGGTCCCATAATAGCAAAAGTACACTCAATATGGTCCAAAATGTCGATCAAACACAAACCACGTCCGCACTCAAAGAAAGGGGGTGACGAACTGGGACGCCGTGAGCGTGCGTCAGCTTCTCGTGGCCGCCACCATGGCGCTGTTCGACCGCGTGGTTTGGTTCGTCCGCCGAAAACTAGTTCGTCAGCAGAGACAATATGCTCGCAAATTTAATGTTCTTGAGGCGAAAAGTTCGTGAGCTAAAGCGTTCGTCAGCGGAGGTATCACTGTATTAAACTTGACATACAGTTTAGTTGGCTCTTGACTCTTCTCCGCATTGACTAAATTGAGGCTCACATCACATTTCTTTTCCTTTTTAATTAACAACCTATTGGAGTGCATTCAGATGATATTGAATTGCCAACGCATCCTTGCCCACCAAATGCGCTGCAACTTACCTGTACTCGGCCCCCCAGCCCTTAACAAAGCTCATGCGAATGGTGCACATCCTGGTGAGTTGGTAGACGGCCTCAAAACCCTGGTTGACCGACTGTGCCAGCAGTGCAGCAAACTCCTGGTTGTTGAAGATCTTCAGATTGCATCCTAACAGAAACGACATGAGTTGGAAACGACACAACCGATTCTTGCCTCGGGGCCGCGCGCAGTCAGGCGCGTGAATGGTAAGTTTCACAATGTATTTGATGCTCAAAAATAATGCTAAACTATGCATTATTGGAGAAATGATCTGATAATTCACCACAACATGCACGGTATAAAATGCAAGCTACTTTTTTGTTTTGTTTAGTCATGGTGGGTTAGAAATCCACCAAGAGACATATAATGAACAGTTGAGAGAGTCGTCAACTAACTTGACATGCATGTTTTTGGAATGTGGGAGGAAGCAAGAGCACACAAAGGGGCCTTAGCTCAGATGCCGACACAGTACTTGCGACTGCAGTACGCTACCACTTAGGCCTGTCACAATAGCACATTTTTCTGGACAATATATTTTCCCCTAAACTGTCATGTAAATGTTTTGTTTCTTTATTTTTTAGTGGTTCTTTTAATGCCAATGCTAAAATAATGATATTAGAGCAAAAATAATTCATGTTCTGTACGTCCTTTTTCAGGGCAATGATCTTTCGATTCTCAAGAATATTGAACATTTTCAATGAATACATGAGAAAAAGAGTCACGCGTGTCTAACTGACACTGCCGAACTGAACCGTTTACATGGTTTTCAAAAGCCGTTCCACCCTTGGTGTGTATGTGTGCATGTCAAATCGCAGGGTGACTGACGGGAGTAGCAACAAGGCAGCATGAGTGAATGTTGATGACGTGTAAACTAACGCGCATGTGAATTACCATTTATCAAGTAAGGAAAAAAAGAGATTGTGTCCATTTTAATAAAAGTGATATCATGTGGTAATTATCGTGACAGGCCTAGTGTCACTTTCAACCCATTTTTCCTCCTTGGTTCTTTGTTAAAAAGGCCTCATGCCTATCTCAATTCCATGTCCTGGTCTCACCTGGAGGGATCTTGCAGACAGTTGCGGGATGCCAACCATAGCGCTGGTTACAGTTGGGGCTCTGCACGAAGATGGCGCTGTCGCTGAGACACTCTGCGAATACCTCTCCCCCTATGTAATAGAGTCGCACTCCGCGACCTTGAAAGACAAAAAGGAGCGGCTAAGTCCTCAGGCAAATAGCGCCAAGCAGATATGCGCAGCCAACGTAGTGAGAGAGTGTCAAATGTGAACGGTCTATTAACAGGGTTGTGGCAAAAACAGTGTGATCCAGTGGGGGGGATGCCTACCGATGTGTCTGCGTGTTAGCTCCACTGCAGCATTGCGGTTGACGTTGGACAAGAGGCCCAGGCAGAAACGCTCGGAGTTGGAAGGGTCTGTAAAACCATCTACCGTCAGCGAGGGCTGCGAGGCGTGGAAGGTCTCTCCTACCCGCTGGTTTAGCTCATAGTAGGAAATGGAGCACCAGAAAGCCGGCTCGCAATATGTCACGGGCTGGAGATCTGACGGAGAGAGACTTGAGAATCAGTACAAGCCACACTGAACGGCATGAAATAGGGAGATGAAATCATTGACTGTTCACACTGTCTGATAAAACAGACATGAATTTGCTTTTATTGATCTTATGACCATGGCAGAAAAAAAAGAAATAAAATTCCACCATCAACGCATCAGTGCCTTGCACCCCACACAGGGACATTTCCAACTTAAAAAAGAAAATAGGCACGATCCATTTGTACAAGACTGAAGGATTATAGATGGAGTGCATGGTTTACATGTACTTTTTAAAGCATGAATTGCATTCCCCTTGAGAAAATCATTGAAAAGACTACATCAGAACAATAAGATTTAAATTTATTTGCCCTCTTGTCAAATTCTTACTTTTTGGGCATATTTTTATTTGATTTGGACTGTTGTCCTGCTGCAGAACCAAAGTGGGCTTCAACTTCAGGTCACGAACTGATGGCCGAACCTTGTGTTTCAGCATTTTCTTGGAAAGAGCAGAATTCATGATTCTGTCAATCACAGCAAGTCATCCATGCCCCGAAGGAGGAAAGCAGCCAGCAAGTGACCTCCTGGATGAGTTATCGCTGTGTCCTTGGGCTAATTTTTATAGGTTGACCACTCCTTGGAACGTTCACCACTGTTCCACGTTTTCCCCATTTATGGATAATGACTCTCACCCTGGTTCACGGGAGTCTTAAAGCTTTGGCGGGCCTCGAGGATCGGCACGCCAGTGACTTTTGTGAGGATAAGTGGTTCAGAAAATGGATGAATGGATCTGACACTGCTTGATCTCCATTGCAGCTCGACTTTAGTTGCACAATCGTTAGTGCATCTTTCATCTTTGCTCCTGTTTGACTGTGAGATGCTGGCTGATTGTTCCCTTGACTGTATTTTCATCTGAGATGGCTAAAAGTATCCACTTGTAGAACAGGCTTGAGGTTACAAAGTTGCAAAATAAGTCCAGACAGCGACTGAGCAGCCACAACAAAGCTCAGTAATGATGAGGACCATATGAACATGGAGGGCCAACAGCTAAGTGTGGAAAACATACTGAGCTTGCATCACTCATTTCAATATCATCTGGTGTGTCCCTGAAGCTTTTACCAGACAAAGAGTGGAAACTCAAGCCTCACTGTTGGGACAATGGAGTCAGAAATGGTCAAATTACATGACACTTTTCAAAAAATTCCTATGGTTCTGGTCATTTGCAACATTTTGCCCTCTGCTTTCATGTATGGAAACAAGCTGCTTTGGGCCCGACACAATGTCATCAGAGGTTTGCTGCCAAGACCCCTGGTGTTTTCCGTCCTGATCGGATAAACACGGGATATTGTCGCTGATGTCTGTGTGGCCGGAATGGTATCTTGGCTCTTTCACAGCTCACACGGTGCAAGGAAAACAAAAGGTTCTTTCATCACCTGGTTTCCTCTTACAAAAAGGAGTCAAATCAAACACAGCTTTCCCACTGGGGAGACATTCAATCACAACATCTGTCGGCGAGTGAAGGCGGACAGACTGAAAAGAAAACAAACAAAGAAACACTCACACCCTTACCCAAGTTATTGTGAGTGGGGGAAACAGGATTGGGCGATAGGTTTGGTGAGCCTGTGTCCATGCTATGAGTCATCTGGTGATCGCTGGTCTCTCCATCCTCACTGAGGTAGCCTGGAGGTGGCGTTTCTGAACATTCAACAGATGCCATTTCATCAGTACAGTGGCAGACAATGACTGCACTTTTAATGGTGCCATGCCATAGGCTAAAAAAAAAAAATCCTGTAACCTGATAATATGATAAGCTGTCCACTGTAGTCACCGCTGTCCCTGAAAGGGTTAAAATGTATATACCGGTATTATCCTGATATCAGTTTTGCAAGATAATTTTAGTAGGAGATGGATGCCCTTTTTCAAGTTATTTTTGTTGGTCATATTTGAGCATCTAGGAAACGCTTTTCTTGCATACAGATCTCAGGCTCCTCTAACGACTGCAAGGTTGGTCAGCATCACGATGGGGGTGTTCCAATATTTAAAATTGATTTCAAAAAGCAGTGTGTTGTAGACTGAGAACCAGCTGAGACTGCCAAATTTGAAAAAAAAAAATTGGTCGTCAGGCATCACACTGTAGGTGGATTTAACATTTAACATGTCTGCGTCAGGATGTAGTGTGGCGATCTGCAATTCCGCTGACAGCCTAGTCATCCTGGATGAAAAATTTGCCATTTCCATGGTGATGTCCGGCGATCATTTCATATCAAATTTGGCAGAACAACTGGATTGGAAAAATGGGCCTTACTCACCTAACAATTTTTAATGCTTTTTGTCACCTCCAGATTTGGGAAATGTTGATTGAGTGTTTTTTAGCCTGGACCTGGTCTTTCAAAAAATGTCAAAATCATTTTGCCCTGAGCTCCAACGCAGTGCCGTGATGTCATCAGCCAACAATCGGCCGTGACGAAGACCGGAGTTTCTCACTCTGCGGTCTACAGAGTGCTTACTTTCCAGGTTTTTGCTTGAACTCTCAACATCCTGCTTCGGCTCTATTGTTTCCGTGACAAATGTCCTCGGGACCAAAACTGGAAAATGCACTTTTGGGCAATTTTCGGCCGAAATTTTTCGGTGACCGAATTTTCAGTGTATCCCTTGTAATTGTTATTTCAGTATTAACAATACACAGTTTAAAAAAAAAAAAAAAAAACAACACAACACACCCATGCCTGTAAAAGTTTGCATCTCAGTGTATGCTGGCAGCTCGTGTCAAGCGCTGCATCTGCTTCCGTGATGAGGCACGTCCGATCGGGGATTTAACCTGATTAGATGGGTGGAATGGCCGCAAGGCCTGGATGGAATTTCGGTAGAGATGGATGGATGAAGGAGATAAGGTCAAAGGTCACTGCAGAGAGGGAGAGGAGTGTGTCCGGGGTGTGACGTCGGCTTTCCTTGTGCGCACTGTTTCTTTTTCTTGTTTTTGTTTATGCACTGCCCTCCTTCTGTCCGGCTCACTCTTCGTTTCGTGACGTCCTCTCGCTCGCCCTTTGCCCTCCGCTGCCACATTTTCTTAAAGTTAAAGCAGCAAAAGACAGATAAGATTTTGCTCAGTGATTCCTTTTGGGCTTATCGAGTGTTTGTTTTGGTCAAACATGCACACACGCGGCACACATCCAAACATCGAAGTACCGCCGACCCACTTCCCTCCCATTTTGGTCATGTAGGGGCACTGGCACTCACTCACTCACATTGACAGATTACTTTCCTAATGGAATTTAATTATTTATCCCTTCCTCATGGCGGTTTAGCCAGGAAAAGACCGACAGCAGCAGGAGGCAGCAGGGGAAGGACAGGACCGGAAGGTGGGAAGGAGGAGGGAGGGAAGGGGGGGGGTGCTCATTTCCTTGTGGCAAAATCTGGACCACCTCACTTTTTTTTTTTTTTTTTTTTTTTTTTTTTTTTTTTTAAAAAAAAAAAAAAAAAAAAAAAAAACCTATCCCATCGGAGTGCAGGTAGGAGGGGGTGGTACCTGGTATGTAGTTGCTCTGCGGCTCGATGCCAGCAGGGAAGTTGGTGTTTTCAGGGATTGAATGGCTGTAGTCATCCAGAGGTGGAAATTCACTCGGGATCTCCGTGTGTCTGGGCACCAGCACAGGAGGGAGTACTGTATGATGGACACACATGCAGACAGGCACATGAGAAAGTAACACAAACAAAAACAAAACGTGTCTGACGCACGGATGAAAACCTTACCTGGAGTCTCTACTCTCTGGTAGTGGTAGGGGTTGACACACACCTCGTCCTTCTTTGTGTGAAAGGCGTATTCGCACAACTCCACTGCCCGCAGTTCATGGTGGGACTGCAGGTCGGGCCAACGCCACAGACGACAGTAGATAACATGGGGCAGACCTTTTCTGTGAGATACCTGCAGACGGCCATCCAGAGACCTGCAGAAGAGTGCGAAGAGAGAACGGTTATTCTAAAGAGTGCCGAGTGATGCGGCAGCAGTAATAATAAAACAGGTGAAATGGGACTCTTCTTATGTTGCGTAACACGTGTACTTGCTGATAACCTGTGAGTACGAGTACTAGAACCAGTGAACATTGAACACACACATCGTCTTGTGCAAGATTTGATTAGTACATCAATCTGTTGCTTATTCGCTTTCATACAAATACAAAGTCAGATGCTTCATAGGTCGACAAATAGAATAGTTAAGACGTCAGCAGATTGACATCTGGGTCAACTATTGTGCACCAACTGCAAAGGCAGTTGACTTCAGGTTTTCAAAAGTGAAAGCTTTCATTTACTCATAAGAAGATGCCTAAGGCTTTAAACTAAAAAAGGACCAAAAAAAAGTTTTAAAGCAGAGATGGAGCTTGGAGATTAGAACACGGTACAGTAAATATTCCCATCCCCGGAATTCTATGAAAAGGAATATCCTTTACCCGGAACAAAAGCCTGTGCATTAACATTTTGACTACGATATTACATGTTACCGGAACTTACGTAAGCGGAAATTCCACTACCCGTAACCCGGATTGAGACGTCATGCCGCGGGAGCTTAAATACACGCAACGCCCACCCGATGCTACGGAACGACGACACCGAGACACATTTTCACTTCGCGTTTTTCGATCATCAGATTCGAAACGACGACGTGTAAGTGAGTTTTTATTGGCGTGCGTTTTACTGTAATTGTGAATGATTTTAACTTTATTCACTTAACGTCCTGTAGAACGCGGCACTAGCTTAAAAGCAGCACCCACTCGACACGACCGAACAGACGTGTTCGCTTCGCCGTTTACATTCATCAGATTCGAAACGAAGACGTGTAAGTGACTTTTTATTGGCGTGCGTTTGACTGCAATTGCGAAAGATTTTAACTTTATTCACTAAGACGCAAATCTACGAAACTTTAAAAAATAAGGCATCGATTCAACTCCTGATGACAAGCCACCATCCAGCGAGGAAGCAATGCGAATGGCAACAAAAATCCGTCAGTATGCACAAGAATTACCAGACATCGGTGATCAACGGGACAGTTACTTGCAACTAGCAACAAAACTGTATGACACGCAGGCAAACATTGTCATAAACCAAAGAATGCATCCAACCAAACAATCCAAAATAGACACATTTTTTTCCCAAGACAGAAAAAAAATAAACATTAAAATACTGTACGTATTTTACTGTTGTGATTTTTTTTGGATACACCTGTATTGCAGTTTTTGTTATATAAACAGTTTTTGGACAGTGTATTTTTGTATTTTATTGATTGTGTTGTTACACGTGCATTTTTGTCAACATACTTGCAGGTTCATAAAGGACATGTACCATGCTCATTTCCCAAATGAGGAATTTCTGTTATCAGGACAAATTGGACAGCGCAAACACGAGTCCGCACTAGAGAATATTTACTGTATATGTATACCTGTCTACGAGCCGACAGGAACACACTACTAAAACCAACTTTTTTTTAAACTCATTAGCTCATGTACTAGTTAGAAAGCACTTTATGATGTTTCTCGGAGGTTCTCAGCTGGTGGGTCGTAAGCGAAAAGTGGGTTGCGGACAGCTAATAAAAAATTACATATTCTTCATTGGATGGGTCCCGTGCAGTATAGAGGTGTACCACGTTTCCACATGAAATATGTGAAGAAAGTAACAGAAAAGCTGCCTCACATTAATCACTAATTGATTCCGTCAACAAACACTGTGAAATCCTTCCTCTGGCTCGTGGATGGTATCACGAGCGATCTGCTTTTGGCGGTACATCAAACTCATTTGAAATGGCATTACGTGAGTTTTCAGAGGCTGGCTGGCTGGATGGATGAAACAATTGCTTATTTGCATGAGGCAAGTTGTTCAAGTCAAGTCACATCAATCAATCAAACTTTATTTTTAGATAGATAGATAGATAGATAGATAGATAGATAGATAGATAGATAGATAGATAGATAGATAGATAGATAGATAGATAGATAGATACTTTATTCATCCAATGAGGTAAAATAGAATTGCTTGCTCTGTAACAAAGTCGTTGTTATAATCGTGTGAAATAGAAAAAAAAAAAAGAGGACAAATTAAGCTTATGAAGACATCGACCACAAAAGACAACGTCACAACTTCAGACGTTTTCATTGTTAATATGGTCGTCAAATTGTGAATCGGTGGGTGACTTGTACGAAAGGTGGAACTTATGTTAGCATTGTAGCAGGCAAGAATGAGCTCCTGCCAAAGCAGGATGCCCCAGGACTCTGACCGCTCAAACTTTGCTTTGTAAATGTTCTTCTTCTTCTTCTCCTTTTGGCACATCCCTATTCAGGGGTCGCCACAGCGAGTCAGTAATTTCCATCCGCCCCTGTAAACCGTCCTACCAACTCGCATGGTCGTCTTGGCAAAAGTTTTACGCCGGATGCCATTCCTGACGCAACCCTCCCCATTTCTCCGGGCCTGGGACCGGCACTGGGGAACAGTGCACCCCCAGGGGAGGGCACTGCCCCCCAGCGGCTGGGTTTTGCTTTGTAAATGTTATTTAAGATAAATCAGTTCTTCGGTTCCCGCACCTCCTCTTGACAGCAGAAGTAGACCCGTTTGCTCACAACCACAAAATACAGTTTAAGGATGCAAAGTAGTGAAGGAAGTGAAGAAAACCTAATTCCCAAAGTACATTTCTGATATCAAATGTCATCAATGATGAAACCGCACGTGGCAGGATTTCCCATCATTGCCTTTAACAGGATTATGAACCGTAATTAAGATCAAATGTTTGGTGCCAGTCCAGAAACCGCAGTGTGACAACAAAAAGTAATACACAAGTAAATCTGGCTCTTGAAAGAGAAGCCCCATGTTCCATGTGGTCAAGTGTTCTTACAATATGTTTAGGAAAGGGCTGGACTCACATGCTCCAACATGCATACATGTGACCTCCTATCCAAACAAATAACTGAGCTGCTTGGGTTACAAAACACACACGCTTGGTGAAAATTACCATTTGCTCTATTATTTATACGGAAATGGCTGTGGCCTGCTAAATTGTATATGCAGAATATCTTAAAAAATATTCTTGTTGGTGGAAGTTTACAATTACAGAGTCATGTCATATATTTCCACCATGTGCTCCAGGTCATGGTTGGTTCTCCAAGGGACAGACAATAAACCTGGATGGGGCTTGTGTTTCCACTTAAAGGATATATAAAGTGGTATGGCAATGGTCATTGGCGATCTTAAGAGTGCAACATCATCGCCGCACTGCAACACATATGCTGTATACCTTTGCTACAATTTGAATGTTAGCCTAAGGATGTGAAAGTTTACCATTTTGGCCACATTAGGGCTACGTTCACACTGCAGGTTATGATGGCCAATTTGTATATATTTTTTTTTTTTGTTAAAGCAGGTAATTGTATTTATTACTTGACATTACAAAACAAATGTGACTTCTAATGTGAATGCAATGTGTCCATGAAGTGTCATGCATCGCACATTTGTCTCCTTTTGATGACATTTACATTAAGTCGGTCACAGGACTGAAACCTGAGTGTCCAGACAGCTGTTGTATCAGATGAATATCTGATTTACAGCGCATAAAAAAGAGGCTTGAGTCAAATTTGACAAAATTATAATTATATTGTTCACATGGAAAAAAATTCAGACATATATTGGAACAATTTTTTTTTAGTGACCTGCAGTATGAACAGAGCCACTGTGTGATAAACACGTTAGAACATACGTACTAACCTTTTGACTTAAAACAAAAAAAAGTTGTCTATGTGAAAGTTCTGAAATGATGCAAGCAGCTAAAATGTCTCTTGATAAAATGTCCAAAGCTCGTGCTGACCAGAGGGAAAACACGGAGAATACATTAGCAAAGAGGAAAAGTAAGTGGAAGAAAAACATTTATTTAAAACCATTCATCCGCCCAACAATAACAATTCAACTTGTGGCTCTGAAAACAGCTCTCTACTACTGTAAAAATGACATTCGAGGAGGGATATTGTTCAGATTGTGCTGTAGGGTGTTTCCCTGAGTCTTTTTGGACGTGAAAAATAAAACCAGCTCGCCTGAGTGTAGATGTGTGAAATGATGTGATCTTTTTGGTATGTGTCTTATAGCCCTGCTGCTGCGTGGGTGTCAGCTGGGACTCGACACAAGCGTGGGCTCACACAAAGTGCAGTGGCATTAGTGGCTGCCTTAGTTTGCTGTATTTTCTTTGAGAAGCCCCTTCTACCTCATTACTACACTTCAAATTGCTTAAAGGCTCCCATCACTATGTGCACAATTGTCACTGTCTCACAATTACTGCATTACTGGACACTTTACATTGCCTGGCGACTCCCATTGTGTCAGAGTTACCGCGCGACTGTTCCCCTTACATTGCTCACTGACTCTTATGTGTTCATGTCCTAAATGTATATTTGGTTTAGTGCCCTGTTTGCTGTAGTACTAGATGAGCTCCAACAACCGAAGACAAATTCCTGAGGATCCTTTTAACATACTCGGAGAAAAAAGATTAACATCAAGACAGAGTAACTTAATTTATCGTATGATGAGAAGTCATCAAAATAATCATACCAATAGGTCACAAAGAAACATCTATCCATCCCTCCATGATCCAAACCACTTTTCTGAGGGTTACTGACAACGTAATGAACATAAATTACAATATGACTGATGAATGTACAGTTCATGGTCAATCAGCCAACTCTAACCTTAAAACCAAGACAAATGCTCTGGTTTTCAAAAAGGGGTAGAATAGATTGCTCCGCTTTATTGCTCAACCACATTAATACGTATACGTATTTTATGTTTTTGCGTCAAAGCAGGAATGCACCGTATCAAGATAAGGGAGTGAGCAAGTAACAGTAGTAAAAGTAAGACTCATAAATACATTGTTGCAGAGTGGGAGTGGGGAATATGCTAGCGGCAGCCCATGCTACAGGTC